GGGGTTCCAGAAGACCTTGATTGGCATTCAGGACGTATGAACTCCCCGTCCTGATCTATTCTCCCTTGTATTAATCCCCGAAGACTTTCAAGGCGATCCTCCGGGATAGTCGGTATCTGGCGGTTGATATTGGCCAGCATGGAGAACGTGAGTCGTCTATCGTTTTCCTTCTCGTCTGAGGGGAAACTAAATGTATGGCAGAATTCGACAAGATAATCATCAAGTTCTGTGCGAATACCGACTATACTGTCGACGAGCGTAGAACTCGGATTGCGAAGTTTATCTCTGTACGCCACGATTCCCTCTCCCTGGCTCGGCACGCGATACACCTCTAATTATCATCACAGGATGCTCGGGAGTTCGAGAACAGCGCCAAGGACATCCAACAACGCTATTCGGATCTGACGGCCAGCTTCCAGGCTTTCATCAGCTCCTTCTCCGGTTGGGCCAAGGACAAGGAAGGTGAACTTACCACTCAAATTAAAGATTTGGAGAAGGAGTTAGAGGATCTCAACAAGACATTGAACGATATCAAGGCAGCACAGACGGCCCTTGGGTCCGTTGCGGGAGTTGTCATTCCCATCTCATCAATACTCATTGCTAGCCAAGTGTTCCCGGGGCTGAATGCGCTTATCCTTGTAAGTTGGAGTAGGTATTGGATATCGTCCGACAACTGACAGGGTCGTAGGTCGGGGGATTGATTGCAGCTGGTTTGGCCCTCTCAGCTGTGATTGGGCTGGCGATCGCTGCCTCGAGTATGTTTCTCTCCTGGCCCAGCGGTAGTGGAACCTCACTCATCACTCGTAGGACTACAAAATGAGATCGACGAAAAGACCGCGGAGAAGCGGAAGTTAGAGGAGCAGTTGGAACAGATCCGGAATGCACGAGAGGAACTTCAATATCTTGGTTTAACCTCGCTGCCGGAGTTCAAGTCCTGTGTGCAAGTTCTCTCAGAGTACTGGCAAACCACCAGCCGCGATGCGCAGTTGATCCAGACCTGGCTGGAGAAAGGAGCGGATTATGCTGTAAGCATGGACAGTCCGATTTATCGCCGCAATCTAACTGGTACAGGATCAACCGGAGTATATGAAGATGAACTTGGAGAAGGCCGTGAATACCTGTAAGTCTATGACCACTACACCATGGTATCCACTAACAATCGACAGATGCATCCATGTCTGTCTATCTTTATGAGTACGCGGCTGGAGTGCAAAGTTATGGTTATTGAGATTGGCAATCGGGTGTCTGAGTGGCCTGAACCAGCGAAACCTATGGACGCTGATTTCTTATGAAAGTCGATGTTCAGTGAAATATTCTTTGAGGATGCGGTAGAGCTACACCTATAGGCCTTTTCATACATCAGATACTGCAGAGGAATTGAGATGTAACAGAGGTCACATACTAGATAATGTTCGCCCCCTAATCCTAGTCAAAGCATAAGCGATTCCCGAGGTCTGGAGAGGATGCTTTGGCTCGACGACTCCTACTCTGCTAATCTCCTTCGGCCAAAGCCGAACCACCGATGTCAGTCTTGATACTAACGTCGCCACTCACGGCGTGATATCAAGCCCTTTACCTATATAAGAGCTGCAGGGTGATCACATTGCATGTGTTGTCATCGAAACTGTCTGTTACGATTGAAACATCAGGCCATCGATCGCAATTGACATCACTAGTGTGAACAAGTTGAATAACACGCAATAACGCCCGCCACTAATGTAGTCCGGAAGATATTTTCGCTTGCCCCTCATATATCGGCCAATTAACTCCAGAGGGCGCTCGGAGTGGGCTGGTAGGATTAACGAAGTTGTTGTTAGGGGATGTTAACGGTCAAGCCCTGGTGCCCTCGATCTAGAGATCGACCTCTCATCTTACCATCATTGCAAAGGCCACGCTGATGGGAATAGAGGGGCTATAGCATGACCCCGCACTATAGATTGGCGTAGAAACAAGGATCAAGCTTGTACTTTGTAGTATGATCAAAGCTTCAACTTTGTGGCGACGCTGCAGGGATCTTATGCACGTTTCGGTTCAGCTGAGGACACCTTGCCACGCCGATTCTTCAACGAATAGAGGTTGTTTGAGGATTGAGAACTCTCCTCGGTGATGTCCGACTCGTTGTGAGAAGAGTGTATTCCAGATGAGAGGAAAATCTCCCCCTGCTTTGAGGTTATTGCGCCCCGAGAGCGATAGGCAAACGCTGCCTTTCCACTCTCATCATCAAAGAAGTCCCAGATCAGTGGAGATCATCCTAACTTGAACATATCATTTCATTAAGTGAGGGGATCGACTCAATGCCAATCAAGCAGGATTGGATGAGGGGCTGTTACTGACCAGTATTAGGATTAGGGCTTCATCATGTTGTACTCTTGATTGATCCCACACTCTTATGTTAGGCCATAGGATATGCGGCCAACATTGTTCATCAATTGGCTCAATGACGTCCACAATGCTCTGGTGGGCTCATATCTTGCAGTATATAAAGCCATTCGCAAGCCCGTAGAAGTCAGATTATTCACAATCACAGCTCACTTTCTTCTTCAGTTCACGCATTCATATAAACCATGGCTCTTGCATACCCTGAAGGCGAATGCTTTTTCAAGCGTTCTGCCTTGAATTCGAGCGACAGTAACTTCTACCAAGCTGATCGCCCCGATCATTTCTATGGCCACTTCCTGCTTGAGTTCCTCTGGAACGTCCCAACTCATACAGGCAGCGAGGCGAAGACAACTCGTCGCCATCCACGCTCAACCTACAACCTCAATGACTTGAGCCAGTGGATGCCCCCGCCCATGATAGGAATGAAAACAGACGGTCCTTACATCGGAAACTGGTCCCAGTTGCCCTTCGTCTATGGCTCGCACTATTATAAAGGGCAGCAACGCCGTATGCAGCATAATCTCTGTACCAGTTCGGACCGTCTTCAGGCCCAGGTCAAGGGAGGTGCTATGGAGGTGAGTCCCTTATCTCCGGCGTAGGTCTTGAAGAGGATGGATGAGCTCACGGAGGACGTTCTAGTCTTGGTTTATGATCATGCCCATGCCGAAGAGGCAGGAAGGCTGAGTCTACATTGATGTTCGTATATCTGCCGCTGAATCTTGCGCTGCAATGCTGACTATTTCCCTTCTCTCGCAATCCAACAGCGTCTGGCCAATATCCGCGGGATCTATATCCCGGTAGCCCATCAGGCCTCTGAGGACCACCCTGAACTTTGTACCTTCGTGCATGTCAATTTTGCCGCCGCGGATACGGGAGTCAAGATGTTCCATCATTTAGGTAATAGCCCGATGAATCCAGCAACCGCCTGGAAGTGGGTCACACTGAAGAAGACCCTCGGCTTGCAGCACTGGAGTAACCTGACCGTTGGAATCAATATCAACGGCCTGGTTAATTTACTCTCCCTGCCGCGACAGCTGCGTGCCCAGAACGCGTTCACCTCGAAGAATATCATTATTATCGATGGACGCATGGTGAAAAGTCCCAAGGTTGAACGAAGCTACAATGACAGCACAGACTTTGACTGGGCCAAGGTTGCCTCCGCCAACTTTGGCCTTAGTATTCAATGGAAACCTGCCCCGGAGAAGAAGGACTGGTTGGAGAACTTCGTCAAGAACTCTTTAACCATTGCGGTTGGATTTATTCCCGGTATTGGGCCGCTCGCAGCGATTGCATTCCCGTTGGTCTGGACCGCTATTGCCGACCCGGATTCATTCATCGACACCTGGCGAAACCTCTGTCCGGGTGTGGACCTCCAGCTGAAGCTGTTGGAAGCTATCAAGGACAGTGCCAAACAGACCCGCGAGTATCTTCCAGACGGTTGGGAGAAGACTGCCCTGGGCCCGAAGTTCCTTTCCGGTCCCCATTCCGCTCCCGTGCGGATGGCTGCTATGATCGCGGGTCCTGGTCAGAAGGAGGGAGATCTGGACCTGGACTCTGAGGCCCTCATTGTCAACGAGCTCAAGGCCCTCTCGGGCGAGTCCATGGATGCACTGACTAAGGCGTTGGACTCTGGGAGATCCGAGGATCAGATTGTGATCATCGAGGCTGACACGAAGGATGCCGCGAAGGGTGAACTTGGGGACGATGATCACCGCCTTGATGATGAAGTCGATGCAGAGGGCGTTGCCGATCAGGTCACCCTGAATGAAGTCGGGCCTGACATGAACTTCCGACTGACTGAGCAGGTCCTCAAGGACACGGCCAAGCCAGAGGATGAAAGTGAATGGAATAAGCTCTTGGATAATGCAGTTCAAGTGGCTAAGGACATCGCGTCTAAGCTTCCCATTGTCTCTGATCTGGGAGACCCTGCATCCTCCGATAGCAGCAAACAGGATCAGCCCGCTGATGACCCCACTGTGAGTGATGGACCCGTCAATGACTTCAACTGGATGGATGAGTACTTCAACGCTCTTTTCGCGGGAACTCTTCAACTCGAAGGACAAACTTGACATAGGATAGAAAATGTAGCATTGCACGGCTCGGAGGGATATCGCCTGCAACAATCAGTTTGACATCGAGATTAAAATATCACAAAATTGTGTATTCAAGAAATTATCTTCTCATCCTTTAGCTCACTATACTTCAATGAAGATAGTTCTTCAAGTTGTTAGCCCCTCTTAACAATTTAGTAGCGATGATCCCAAGTCCGAATGATTCCATGGGAAAATAATCATCATGGTATTAATACTTTAGTAGATATATGTAACGGAAAATATAGAGGGGTAAGTTGATTTGATGTACCTCCTTAAACAGGGTTTAAAGGCGGATTGCCTTACTGATTCTGAGAGAATATACCTGCTTCTAACATTGGAAGATATCTTACATATTGGAAACACGTTTCGAGGGGAAAGGTTGAGCAAGTAGTGCACGAATCCATGGAAAAGCGACCGACGCGCAGATGTTGTGTGATAATCAACACGAGACTCATTGATAAGAAGCAAGTGGTGCTGAACTGTCAGCGTTAGCTATATTTTTTAAATCCACAAACCTTTGCTAAAATTGCTCCCATAGCTCAGTTGGTCTAGAGCATCAAGCTTATATAATCACCGCACGAAGTGCAGGTTATATATGCCTCTTGGAGGTCGACGGTTCGATCCCGCCTGGGAGCATCTTTTTTTTGCCATTTTTTCTCCATCAAATTACCAGAGAAATCCCGTAGACTTTATGTACTGTACATATGTGGTACTTAATCTTGGACTGAGATTAGAATCAACTAAAGGTAGTACATCAATCCCAGACCAGCGAGTAGTACTAGTCGATGAGCTCGGTCTCCGATAAATTGTAGTAGTACTCTAACTTCAAGTTGAAGTAGGACGATGGTATGCGAGTGTGGGCTACACGGTGGAACAGCAGGCTGACTCGAGTACTGGCACAACTAAGGTTCAATATATTTTGCATTCCGTATATATCATTTATCTATCGTGGCTCTAGATTTTCGCCAACCGCGACGCAAAACACAACTTCAACAAGAAGTTACTACTAGTATTCCGCACCATTTTCATCACTGCTCGAACCATCCTGGCCCTGGCCACCCTTTTTAAGATCGGAAATTCCATACATAGTGATAAATCCCATTCCCAGAAAAGCACTCACAACCGAAAATACCATCGCGACGATCCCCTTCGCCGTAAACCCCGCTGGCAACCACGGCAGCTGTTCATTCTGGCCGGTAAGATCAAGAAAATCTGCCGTATTACCCGCGGCATTCCCCTCATGCGCAACACCGGCCGCCGCACAGATATCGTAATGCTGTTGCGGGATCTTGACGCGCTCTTGAATCAGTGTGGGCGCTTCAATGAAGGTCATCGCCAGCCCCTGCGTTAAATGCCAGTCAATGTGGCAATGGAAGAGCCATACACCGGGGTTGTCGGCCTTGAAGCGGATGACAAAATAGCCCTGTGGGGGTACCACGAAGGTATCTCGGCGTGCGGGGTAGTCCGGCAAGGTCGAGGCGTTGGAGGCGTCGTAGGCGACTGGGTCGCCAGTGGCGTGGTCGTAGAACGTCGGTCCGTAGCTGGGATACCGCTCGACGAGCTGGAAGACGTGTCCGTGAAGATGGAATGGATGCGAACCTGTGTCGGCGTTGTTGAGGACGATTTCGACGATTTCGTTTTCCTCGAGTATCACGGGGTGCGTGTATTCGCCGTAGATGGTGGAATTAGACGCGAGCGAGCCGGAGGACATGACGCTGTACAAGGTCGGCACTTTGGGTCTCACGTACGAGATGTCGTTGAGGAAGGAGTAGCCGGCGCCATCGTTAAGGTTGTCCATCGTGACGGTGAATTCTAGCTTGTGGTCGGGGTTGGTGTAGAGAGGGAGTTTATCATGGGGAACCAGGGTGATGTCGTCGAAGGGGTTGAGGTCGGAGCATACATCCACGGTCATCACAGCTTCCGGATGTGCTGCGTCGTGGTTATATTCGAGCCAGTTGGTCTGATTCAGTTGAAGATCGGGGGAAATCAAATCGAGAAGCACCGAGTCCGCCACAGTAACTATCGGATAATTTTTGTCGGTGGAGTTTTTCATGGTTACCAGGATGGAATAACGCTGGGCGGCGGAGATGTAGAGAATATCTGCCTCGGCGGGCTCGGTATAGATTCCATCGATCTCGACGATGCGAAATGTATGATCCTCTATGTAAAAATATTGAGCGACGAAGGCACCAATATTGATGAGACGAAGTAGATATGTCTTGCCAGGTTCGACGGGGATATTCAGACCCGTGGTGTCGTTAAAGAGGAAGGAGTTTGGGACTGGTTCAGCGCCAGTAGGATTAGCCAGCGTGATGAAGTGGGGCTCAATGTCCTCCATCAGATCATGATACCAGTCACTTATGGTAATGACGTGCTCCTCATCGTACATATCATTAAAGTAGGCATCTTTATCGTGCACAATCAAGGCCTGTCGATAGCCATCTGGGTAGCAGTTATCGGTGTGGCAGTGGTACCAGTAAGTGCCGTTTTGATTGACCATGAAGTCATACGTGATTGATTGCCCTGGAGCGACCGGGCATTGAGTGACCATAGATGGACCATCCATATCAGTCGTGTTGAAATGGTACATTCCATGAAAATGAATTGACGTGCTCTTGTCCCCTAGGCCATTGTACATGTTCACCACCAGACGGTCTCCCTTTTCCACCTCAATCACTGGCAAGGGCCATTGGCCGTTGATACCAACGACCTTTCGCTCATAAAGTCCATCTGGGTTTGCATTAACCCAGGTCACATTGAAATCATAAGTGACCGTCTTCGCTTGGCACTGAAGAGCGAAGACCACAGCAGCCCCAAGCCAGATAAACAGGCGATTTAGGAAGGGCATCTTGTTTTCGGGTATCTCTGGTTATGAGAAAGAAGAAGGGCGCCTACGAGGCATTTATCAGGAAAGAAGGAGAGGCAAAAACATGACCTTGGCATTGTTCTGCCAACAGCGTGAGGTGAGCTACTGAGGTCCGGTAACCAGGCTTCCCGAAAATGAAAATCGATTCATCCCACTTATCAATCACAGGGGCCCACTAAGACTAGTATCATGTTTGTATGACACTAGTAATATAACCAAGTGGAGACTTATCAAATTTAATATAATCTGATCCGGACTGGCGTGTCGTTGAAATCTTTCCCAGTGACCACACAGTACGGAATACGGAGTATGTACGGAGTATTGCATAATTTGTTCAATGAAGGTATTTTATGTTATTCTAGTCTAGGGACACTTTTTAATTCCACATAAACCCTTCCCCTCCTCACCGGTTACGTGGCAGGATCTGTTCAAAATACGAGTAACTGGTAAGACAAGTGAGACCTCTCTATCCTACGGCAAATAGAAAGCCCTAGGCCTCCGCGACCTTCACAGAGGTTGGGCTAACCCCCTTCTCCTTTGCCCCGCTAATTTCCAACACCCCTGGTTGTTCGTTGGGAAGCACATCGTCCTCAACTGGCCTGCGGAGGATTTTTGCTTTCACCCGGGACTTGAACGCCCCATAACGAGCGAGAAGCGGGTCAATCACTGGGATCGCACCCTTTCGTTCCCGATATATCATCGCAGAGTAGCCGAGTATCACGCAAAGCCAGAACAAATTGTAGCCAATGACCGAACCAAGGGTGGCAGAATTAGTCCATCCCAATAAAGCATTGAAAATACCCCAGCCACCACCACCACCGATCTCAGGGTTACAGCAGTTAACATGCCACACGCTTTGCCTGATATCGTAGGATCCAGGACCAGACCCCGTCTCGGAGGCATCACCACCAACTATCTTACCCCAGGCATGGTTCTGGAAATACCACACCCCGCGAGAGAAAAGACCCGCGGCCACCAGATAGAGAAAGCAGGTAGAAATAATCAAGAAGATTTGCATAGACGTTTCGCTGCCACCCCTACAACCCGTCACGATGCGTTAGTATTGTTCACTCATCGATCACGTCGTCGGGATGGGAGGGGGGATCCGTACCGGAATATCAGATAACCCACTAAGCACCCAGCTAAGAGACCACAAAAGACTGCCAGCGGGAATGATGTGGCGGGGAGACCTAAACCGACGCCTCCGACGTAGACGACCGCTTCCAGTCCCTCTCGAAGAACCGTGATAAAGGGAAGAATGAACATGACATATTTCTCAAACCATCTCTTGATCCGGCCCTGTCGAGGGGTGTCCGCGGTATTGCGATGTTGAAGGGCTTTGGTCAACTTCAGCCGCCACTTCTCCTGTAGTTTAGATACGCGGAGGAGAGCGGCACCCATGATGGCAATGATGAGCGAAGCCAATATACCCAGCACACCTTCCCAGATATCTTCTGTCGCGGAGAACGTGTTGGTGCCGAGGCCGTAAAACGCGCCAATCATGCCGGCGCCAACGCAAAGACAGATAAAGAGGCCTAGCGCACATCCTATCCACACCTTTACCGGAAAGATACATCATCAGTGCTACATTCGTGTGACTTCGATAGTGTAATTGAAGACAGTCTTACCTGTTTCACTAGTCGTTTATAAGTTTCGCGCTCCTCACTGCCACCGAGGGTCTGCTTCAAGAACGCCAATAAGACGGACACCACGATACTGGTTTCGAGACATTCTCGAAAGCAGATAAAGAAGACTAGTTTTGTGTTTGTGTTAGCAAACAACTAGACAGTGCCAAGTGTTCCATGCTTCGGAGGGGGCTCTTGTTTACCAGTGACTGCGAAGACTGGATTTTCGCCCATTGCGGAGACCAGCAATACAGCGAGTGGCACGTGACAAGTCTTATCAGATCATAGGACAAAAAAAAAAAGAGCGAAAAGACTTGGCCGAAGTGGAAATCCTTGGAATGATAAATGGCCTCAAGCCCACTCTCGATTCATGGTCGGAGACAGTCTTATCTTACCGTACGGTGTACGCACAATGTTTTTCGGTCAATCTGCCCCGTTGATGGATATTACTAGCCAATTCGGTGGATAACCTGTTACCGTACTCCGTATCAGATCCGCTTTCGCGATAATCAGACCCAATCCAGCCACTTATCAGCTGCTCATAGCTCACGTGGTGGTCGGAGTGGTCGGCTTCTGAAAATGGAACCACTCGGAGTCTCGGCTATATTCAAGCTTTTACGCTCGTTAAGATAAACTGCCCATCTGATTAGATATACCATAGGCATTTTTTCGGTAGGGCTTTTAGGGTTTGACAATCTGGCAATTTCTATCTGGATGTTCGTCTTTTTATCCTTCGTCGCTTTGATATTGTTGATCCATTGATCCAAGTTGCTTAGAACATGGTACTCACGTGGCATGTAGTCCACATCATCCAATCCGTCCTGTGGCTCTGTTTTGGTAAGTAACTGGACACCGCACTAGCCGTAAAGGAGCCCGAGGGGGTTTAGACCGTGTGGACAATAATACTGATACATCATGCCCAATCAACGAAAAATCGTGAATGTTGATTTTGAGAGAAATGGTAAAAAAATATCAATATATACTCCGTTTTCAGAGTGTAAATATATTAAGATGGAAAGTCAATGGATTGTCAGAGGACAACTCGCCTGGTATTGTTTACTCCGTACGGAGTACTGAAAAACACCTTGGGATGCGCCATTTTCCCACCCCGTAAAACAGCTGTAATAGACTTGAAACCCCACCAA